CATATGTGAGAAATACGCCCTTCTAAGATGTAAGTTTGGCATAACGTTACAGCGTTCCATATGTGAGAAATACGCCCTTCTAAGATGTAAGTTTGGCATAACGTTACAGCGTTCTATATGTGAGAAATACGCCCTTCTAAGATGTAAGTTTGTCATAACGTTACGGCGTTCCATATGCGAGAAAGACGCCCTTCTAAGATGTAAGTTTGTCATAACGTTACGGCGTTCTATATGTGAGAAATACGCCCTTCTAAGATGTAAGTTTGTCATAACGTTACGGCGTTCTATATGTGAGAAATACGCCCTTCTAAGATGTAAGTTTGGCATAACGTTACAGCGTTTCATATGTGAGAAAGACGCCCTTCTAAACTTACATCTTTTGCCGTAACGTTATGCCTGCCAAACTTACATCTTAGAAGGGCGTTTTCTCACATATGGAACTTTACATCTCAGAAGGGCGTCTTTCTCACGTATGGAACGCTGTAACGATACTTTGTGCTTCAAGGACGTCACTTAGTCATTGAAAACATACCGAAACCGACAGGTATTAGAAAGTAGGTTTATCTGTGCTTCAAGGACGTCACTTAATCATTAAAAACAGATACCCAAACCGACAGGTATTAGAAAGTAAGTTTCTTTGTGCTTCAAGGACGTCACTTAGTCATTGAAAACATACCGAAACCGACAGGTATTAGAAAGTAAGTTTCTTTGTGCTTCAAGGACGTCACTTAGTCATTAAAAACAGATACCAAAACCGACAGGTATTAGAAAGTAGGTTTCTTTGTGCTCCAAGGACGTCACTTAGTCATTAAAAACAGATACCGAAACCGACAGTCACTTGAAAGTTAGTTGATTTTCTGTTTTACAGACATTATTTCCACGAACAGAACAGCTGTGCTTATCCATATAGATACATCCATCCCACTGTAAGCTAAGTTACTATTATTTATATATTATTACATTCATTTAATCATGTTTCTATATTTTAGTACCTCCCGAGAAGAACATTGGAAGGAGTTGCGCGCGTAAATATCAGCAAAAGGGGGGGGGGGTTATACGTAAGAGTTGGGAAATCCTGACTAATATGGTAAACTTGTAACAACCAGAAACTCCATTTTGAATCTTTAAAAAGAAACAAATCCAACACTTTCCAATATTTAAAACATACACAAACAAGAGACAGTCACTAGTAAAGTTCAGTTCAGGCCAGAAGAGATCCACTATTTTAATCCCCAACTTTAGGCCTAGACTTGAAAACTTAAGTGAATTTGTGGTGTGTATTAAAACACACAGTTGTATAGCTTTATCTCCTTGTTAATTTGATGTTTTCTAAAGACAGAGCATGTGTTTCTCAACAGTTTGTTTGTATAGCATTCATCTACAGCCACCATGTTTTTTTTGGGGCAATAGGTGCGAAACAGATTCGGTTGTTACGATCAAATTCAAGTAGTAGAAAATCGTAAAGTCCGGCACTGCAACTGGGTCCGTTTTCTACGATGCTCACCCACTGTGACAAGTGATGTCAACCTGCTTGTTCGCGTAAGGCCCGATGACATAATTTATGAATGCATCCGGCAGGTGTCTCCCAACACAGAGCTTGTCGTTCATTACGATGAAAACCAAGTGCATACTGGATTCTTCGGTTTCCCATCAACCTATCGGACTAGTCCATTTCGAAGAAATATTTGTAGACAAGCAATTGAAGGTAGGTGAAATTGTGCTTTAATAATACCCGATCTACAATTATACACTGTATCAGGATGTGAACAGCTTCATCATTTCGTATTGTGTCCCTTTAGCCTTGGTTCTTATGACTAACTACAGTAGAGTAGAATAAAGCAATGTCACTAACATGTTTATATTACCTTCTGTTTGTGTCCCTTTAGCCTCGGTTCTCGTGACTAACTACAGTAGGGTAGAATAAAATACACGTCACTAACATGTTACTGTTTCTTCTGTTTGTGTCCCTTTAGCCTCGGTTCTCGTGACTAACTACAGTAGGGTAGAATAAAATACACGTCACTAACATGTTACTGTTTCTTCTGTTTGTGTCCCTTTAGCCTCGGTTCTCGTGACTAACTACAGTAGAGTAGAATAAAGTACACGTCACTAACATGTTAAAACAACTGCGAAGAATTGAAATCAGTTTCTCAGAAAATATTACCACACAAAATGATTTTTCTAAGAATTAACATATGACCGCATTCTTTAACTTCTGCTGCATACAAGTATAATCACACCATTCGTTTCTTTTATCCGAAATTCAAAGGTGCTTCAAGGACTTCATTTAGTCATTGAAAACATACCGAAACCGACAGGTATTAGAAAGTAGGTTTATCTGTGCTTCAAGGACGTCACTTAATCATTAAAAACAGATACCCAAACCGACAGGTATTAGAAAGTAGGTTTTATGGTGCAGAACACTTAACAAGGTTTCTAAGTTGCTGCTATAATTTACTTAGGCATGCCTCATTTTATTGTTGTTACAGTGGGATTGTTAACAGCCATAATTTGGGTGATGTAACAACCCACCTTTACACAATGCCGTATGGTGCAGAACACTTAACAAGGTTTCTAAGTTGCTGCTACAATTTACTTAGGCATGCCTCGTTTTATTGTTGTTACCCTATACTTATCCTCCGAGATTACAATAGTTTCATGAATTAAAAGTTTTTTCATAACAACCAAATATTCTTAGAACAAATGTCAAGTAAAAATGGCGTCTTCTTTTGTGTATTAAGGGTATTAAACTCCAGCCCAGACTTTCCTAAACTGTGAGACTCCAGACAGGGTTCAAAAATACAAAGTATTGTAAAAATGGAAAGTTATTAATAACTATAAACCCACTAAATTATTAATAACTATAAACCCACTAAAGAAGAAAAGTTAAATGACCTTCAAACAAGCTATTACAGTTAGCGCTACGACCTAGCTGTATCTCGTGCTTTGTCTTATTATTGGGAATCAGAGCTCCAAGAATAAAAAACAGACACTCAAACCGACAGGTATTAGAAAGTAAGTTTCTTTGTGCTTCAAGGACGTCACTTAGTCATTAAAAACAGATACCGAAACCGACAGGTATTAGAAAGTAGGTTTCTTTCATAATTTGGGTGATGTAACAACCCACCTTTACACAATGCCGCCTGTTAACAATCCCACTGTAACAACAATAAAACGAGGCATGCCTAAGTAAATTGTAGCAGCAACTTAGAAACCTTGTTACGTGTTCTGCACCATACGGCATTGTGTAAAGGTGGGTT